CATTAATTTTTTTAATAAAAGAATAAATTTTTCCGAGAAAATTTTCCTCAGAAAAGTTTTGTTTATCACATGTCATAAATTTCATTAATGAGAACCTTACTCTAAATATTAAATTCACAAACTGAACATGATTTTTATATTTCTGAAGCTATAGGCTTTCTGCACGCTATGTTCGCCCATCTCCTTTATAACAAAAGTACAAACAGCTTATAGAATTCACACAAAACACAGTGTAAGATATTCTGGGATTTACAGCTGCGAACGTTAAGTATTTGGACATGTTTACTTATATGCTACATTGTAATTTTTTGTCACCTATCCCGAGCTTGTTATTTTCACAATGTCGAAGAAAATTATTCACATAACTTTAAATTACTAGAATATAAATTATGAATATAATGATAAAATCATATAGAACATTTAAATATGATATGTTACTAATCAAAGTAAAGTAATTCCTTGCAAAACTGTAAAAAGCAGACGGAAGCGTTCGCTTCAGAAGAATACAGAATAATGCTTAACATCTTTAGAGAATTTAAGGCACCTCTTGCATCCGTCTTGAAATATTCACTCCCTGTACCTTTAATATTTACCATCTGTAATTATTTTTTCTTTTAAAAGAAAGTGTTGGCCAAGCCTTGCTTTGTCCTAGAAGTGGGTAAGGATGAGATACTATTGTGACCGCGTAGTTTGGGTCTTAAAAGATGTGTTGTTCATCGGGCAAGAGGGAATGTTAGCAGGGAAATGAGTGGCGCGTATTCCTAGGGCTCTTCCCGAAAACACATATAAAAGTCCAAAGTAACGAGGAATTGGTTTCCGAATTTATTAACTTGTCCCAACGATGGAAATTATTAACATGGAACAACAATAAACAGTAACCAGTTGAATATGGCCATAGCCTCCAAACTGTTAAAAATAGAAATAGTTAAAGCATGATTGGGAACGTATGGTGTCCGGATAGGGCCATTTGCAAAAGCTCAACAGCGCGTTCAGAAAAAACACGCCGTCGCGCTACTGTAACACACAACACACTGTCACGCTAACACAAGTTCGCACAACACGCCGTCGCGCTAACACACAACACGCTAACACACAACACGCTGTCGCGCTAACGCATCTTTACACAACACGCTGTCGCGCTGTCACACAACTCGCTAACACAACTTTGTGATAGCGCGAATGCGAGTTGTGTGTTAACGCGACGGCGTGTTGTGCGAACTTGTGTTAGCGTGACACAGCGCGTTGTGTGTTCGCGAGACGGCGTGGTTTGTTTGTTTGTTTGTTTTTTTTTTTGAACGCCCTGTTGAGCTTTTGCAAATGGCCCTATCCGGACACCATAGGAACGAGTCGGACGTGGCCGGTAGTACACCAGGCCTCCGAACTGTCGAGTAAAATTTGACAATGGTATTTAAGAGGAATTGAACAATGAGTTAAAGGTGCTTAGACACAGATTTGAAGTTAATATTTTCTCAAAATTTCTTTATAATATCACGACTTATATATTGCAATAGCATTTCACACGAAAATATAATTAAAACTTATTTTATCTGGAAATTATTGGAACTACGAATTTAAGAGTTTAACAAATTGAATACACCCGTGAAACGTAAACTGTTTCTGTAAACAGGGCACGAGCTCTGTTATTGTTAATGTTTAATGTTAATGTTTACGATTCACCGGGTGTGTTCAATTGTTAAAGTCTGCACACACCACTGAGCACGGACTGACAGTACTGTGAGTGGGTTTTGCTTTCGAACATTTCTACTCTGAATTTTCTGGATTATAGTTTTAATACTTTTCATTAATACACAAGAAAACTGCCACTTTTCTTAAGTATTAAGAATAAAATTAAAAATTGTGAAAGTGCAAGGATGTGTCAATCAAACGCGTCCAGAAATTTGAAGTTTCAATAACTTCGAGATGAAATAAGATTTTTATTATATTTTAGTATGAAATGCTATAGCAACATATAAGTCATTAAATTATACAGAAAATCTGAGAAAATATTAACTTCAAATCTGTGTCCAAGCACCTTTAAAAATGACAGGTGCTGAGAATGAGTGAAAGTGGTACAGGTAACAATAAATGCAATGCTTTGATGGCATGGACATAAAGAACACCGATAATTATAATAAATAATTACATAATGTTTGTATAAGGGATTAAAAGGTCCTTGGGCATTAACACTCTGCCAGGTGTTGACAATGAGTAAAAGTGATACAGGTAACAAAAAATGAAATGCTTAGATGGCATGGACATAAAGAACACCGATAATTAAATAATTACATAATGTTTGTATAAGGGATTAATAGAATCATTCATTACTACGAGTGTGAGATAGTGAAATTCCACCAAGGGGACAAGATTCACGGTCTAGGACGAGGCTTTGCCGAGTCCTAGACCGTGAATCTTGGCCCCGAGGTGGAATTTCACTATTCCCACACGAGTATGTAATGAATGATTATTTTTCTCGCATTATTTTATCCAAAATAACGGCCTGTCAATGACATCGCCATGATAGGGCTAAAAATATATTCTTTAAATTTTCCATCTAATTAAAAATCTAAATACACCATCAGAGAGAGCGTACCTGAAAATGGTTTACACAAAGTGTAAACTGATAAAATGAATTTCAGTCCATGTAAATTAATTAGATAGATAAAAACTGGGAATAAAAAAACTTATCTATCCGATAGCGTACACATTCATTTAAGAAGAATCCATCCGCGATCTAAAAATAGTGCCATTTAAAAAGTGAAAATACGACAATATTTTGAATGAAATAAGTTTATCTTAATAAGTTAAATGACAACATTTTAAGTATATGTAATATTTTTTAACATTGTTACAATTTCTTTATATATAGACGGAATGTTTACGTTATCGTTCGCGGCGTAGTAATACACAGTGTAAGACAGAAAAATCTCACACTGCTGTCTCACACCGGACAAGTCAATCTTACACCGGTGATTATGCGAGAATAAAAGGTCCTTGGGTATTAACACTCTGCCCCTCTGTCAGCCGACAAGTGTCACTCAGTAATTATATGAACACTTAATAACTTAACATGAGAAAGATTTGTAAAATGCAAATTTTAAAACCAAATAATTTCAGAATATTAAATATAGCATTAAAACAAAAATTAAATATAACATTTAGAGTCCAAAATGAATTATGAATAAAACAGTCAATTTCACACGATGATACTATTATTAAATTTGTCATATAAGGCCAAAACAAAAAATATCTTTGTTTCCCCTAACGCGACCGACCCAATTAAAACGCGCCGACTGGAAAGTTTTTTTCTTATAAGATTATTCAAATATTTTTTTTTTATGTTTATCAACTTCTGTAAAATAAAATTCCATCAAATCTGTTTTTTATCAGAACGACTGATTTTGTTCTGTGATTTTCAAGCGTTTATTGGAAACAAAATAGCGCCTACAACATGTGGTCATGGAGGGTTAGTTCGTATTTTAAAAGAAAGGCAACGTATCAACCTTATGCCTTTAGCATATTAAAATCCTGCACTCTTGAAACACTTTGTTTACAAAATATAATATCCAATGACTAATTGAAAGTGTTTGGGTTGTATTGTTGTATTTACTAGCCTGTCTTAAAATCAAGGTACGTAGAGAGCATGCTTAGGCCCATAGGCCCTCCTCATGATACCCCTCATGAGCAGACAAGGGGCCCACCTTCTGAAAACACCAATTAATTTCATTGCATTTTATTTTATTTGAGTTTTGATCTTATACACAGTTCATCAATATTCCAATGTTTACTATATGGGACCATAGGAGTTGTAAATAAGTCTGCATATTTCATCCTAATGAATAGAATTCAAATGTCCTTTCTCCATGCCTTTTAATCATGGGTTAAACTTTGTATCATCGACATTGTGTATGACATGTTATCATTTTTATATATTGTTTGCCTCAATTAAATATTGTCAACATACTTTTTCCCAATAGATTTGAAATTATGATACAAGCTTCCGGAGATGTCCGTGTATTTTTCTTTAATAAGACCCTGGAAGATTGGTTGTTTCTTTGTTTGAATCCCTTTGATAATTGTTGGGACAACAACATTAATCTAAACATTTGTCTGGTGAAGGACTCCAAATTTAGACGTGTACGCGGCACTTTAGGCCATGAGCAATGAGGATTTTTTTTTTCGTGCCAGTATCTACTGCGTAACTGGACCTAAGTTTTTACTGTGCCCTTCGAAGAACCGGTCTCAACGTCCCGCATTGGGATTTGAACCTGCAACTTAGAAATATCTCCTTACTTCGAGACTCTAAAACGATATGCTCTAGAAGTACTGCACAATTCGAAGCCCTTGAAAAAGTACAAAGTACAAAGCAATAGAAGCTGATAGTAGGTATACATAAAAAATATACTCTGGTGTCCAGTCTTTGCGTACCCGAGAATCTTTTAAACAGATGTATTCGATTTCATCAAATTTACTCTGGTATGAGATATTTCGATTGAGTAATAGTTATGAATTAATTTACCTTAAATTTTGAGTTTCAATTGCACTTGTATGGTATTCTAACTGTTTACAAATCACTTTCTTTTGTACTTAGCTTATTTATAAATATATCATACTATTAGATTTTCAGAATATATTTTCAAAGCTGCTGTCAAAAAAAAAATTATTTGCCTACCTACCTACCCATTTTTAGATTTTAGGGTCGGGTTAGGGGAAACAAAGATATTTTTAATGATGGCCTAATAAATATCTAATAATTTAACTATTTGATAAAACTATTTCCATTACTTTTTATTATGTCACTGGAATACTTGAGCTGATAAAGTTTGTTTGTGTTTTTGTTTATTTTCTTTGTTAGGAATGATAAACCTTTAAAAAAATATAAGGTTGGCGCAGTTGATGAATGTTGAATATTTGCTTACGGTAAGAGATAACGTGGGAGCATCTGTAATACTAGTTCCTCCTGTGCTTTAACTTCAGATGAAAAGTTTTGATGTGAACCTGCTGCATGTAAAGGCTACCGTTGAGTAGCCACACAGATGCAGTTACGATTAGAATTTGTTTAACATGGCCCATTTCATTTCTTGGATATAATAAAAAGGATATACATATAAAACCAACGGATATAGTAGAATGGCTTATTTTTATGTTTAAACGGAAATGTGTGTTAAATGCTGACACAGAATTAGGAATTGATTCACTATGATAATAAGGTGAAGACATCTCTGCCAGCAGTTGTCCTTTTTTTCCGTGGTACAATATTAAGGTGTAACTGGTATGACGATCAGTAGTTACATATCGATTCTCTCATTCACCATTGACCAAGTTCGGGATTACGTATACTCAGCGTGTTATTATGTGAGTTACAAGAGCTCTCCTAAATATCGTTTTGTGGAGTATGGAACATATTCTTCATACATCTGGAAACTCAACAAGCTTTAAATTACACAATTTAGTTTCACAGCACTGGATGACATATGAGGAGGTTTCTGAAGAGTTCCATCTGGTGCTCGGTGTGGTGGCGACAATTGTTGGAATTATTTCTTTAACTTCTAATGGCTTTATACTCAGGATGTTTTACAGGTAGGGGATTCGCCTTTAAAAAAAATTTATATATATATATATATATATATATATATATATATATATATATATATATATATATATATATACATATATATATATATATATATATATATATATATATATATATATATATATATATATATATATAAAGAAATTTAGTACAGGAATTTTATAATAAATTTGTCATTTTATTAAACTGAAATTATAATTTGGGTTATTTATAAAAACTAATGCTTAGTCATCCTTTCGTGATTCAAATTTAATTTTAGTTTACATTAGATTTTATTATGCACAGGTTTCTTTGATAAAAAAAAAATTAAAAAGTAGTTATGAAAATTAATATTTTTTTTCAAAATTGAAAAACTATAAAAATGATAAGAAATGTAAACTTAAATAAAAATATCCCACATATTTTAAATCTTTATCTTTCAAAATATTAATCCAACAAAACATGTATTCAAGTAATAGTGTATAATATACCGATGTAACTTTGAACATTAAACACGAAATAGACGTTGTGCACAAACGTAAAAGAAATATTGTTTGATGTTTGTTTGTTATTGTTTAACGTCCCTCTCGAGAATTTTTCACTCATATGGAGACGCCAGCACTTGCCGGTGGAGACCTACAAATTTTGACCTTTACTCTGCACTTAGGGCCATTGAGCAGTGAGGGATCTTTTTCGTGCCAGCACCTACTTCGACACGGGGCCTCGGTTTATACGGTCTCAACCGAAGGACCGCACGTCCCACAGTGGGATTCTAAAACTGGATTACATTTTGGGTGCAACGTACAGATTTAGGAAGACATAGACATATAAAAACTATTTCCTATCAAATAATGAACAAACTTTTCAGTAACTAACAGTTGTAATAAGTACTTCAGTACTTCTGGAACTTTGAAGCAAATATTTAAAAAAAAAAAACCTGGGATACAAATTTTTACACTTGAATTGATATAAGGATACTTAAGTAATTGCGCTCACGATAATAGTTGATAGAATCGGGCAAATACGGTTTCTTTATGGGTAACTCGCATTCTCACTCTTGGCGCTTCGAGAAAACAAGAGCGCGATGTAAAAGGTGTGAGGGAGGAACGAGCGGGAATAATAACGGCATTAATAGATGGAGCAAAAGCAGCAAGGCAAGTAAACTGGTATGCGATTGTGACAAGCAAGAGAGCAGCAACACAAGATAACACTGCGAGTGTTTTGAAGGAGAGACGAAGCAGAGGTACTCCATTTCTCCCAAGCACTCGTATTGACATCTCATTTTTGCATTGCTGCCCTCTTTTCCTCCCATCGCCCTCCTGTTCTCACTTAATCGCCCTCGATCCAGTTGGATTGCCCTAATATTCAAGCTCAAGTTTTATCACCCTATCCTTCAGCTTATCATCCAAGCTCCCTCGCCTTATCGCCTTCGATTCTTCACTTCGTCGCCCTCGCTCCTTCAGTTTGTTGCCCTCGGTACATGTACCTCGCCTTATCGCCCTCGATCCTTCAGTTTGTCGCCCTCCAGTTCTCGCTCTTTCGCCCTTATCCCTTCAGTTTGTCGCACTCAAGTCGCTTTCTGTCTCTCACTATTTCGCTCACTATCTTTCAGGTCAAGAAAACGACATAGCAGTTTGTAGATAGTGCTATCTCATGACCATATATCATGAACCGCGCTACAGATGCTCATATGGTGACAAACTTAACGACAAACAACGTTTTGGTGGGAAAACTTCGCCTCGTCATTACAACGAATATACATGTTACCATTCCCACTGCCTTATCATCTTTTTAAATCACGCATGCCACATTCACATACGTTATAACTTTAATTTTATATCAACCCGACCCTTATTAAAGTTAAGAGAGAGAGAGAGAGAGATGTCAACCAATCACACCTGATAATCATTGTACTATAATAGAAAATCGCCTTACTCCAGCCTACATTCTTTATACTATGTCATTAAGAGATAAATCGTAAGAAATTGATTATTTATTGTTTATCGCTCATTTAGCGTACTCTTTTGAAGCTAGTAAAATCTAAAAATATTCTCTCCCTGTATATCAGGGATCTCACTCGCTTATTCTGGGGTAAAAAGCGATCAAAACACTATTTCCGTAAATGGAAACTTTATTTGAACCCGTGAAATAAATATTTCTACATGTGTATCTATGGAAAACTTCGAAATTAAAATTTTTAGGGTAAAATAATCTTATTATTTAATCCTTAGTATACAGCTTCCAGATCAACCTTGTAATCCCATATGCATATAGAAAGTAAGATTTCAAATACTGATACGGTCATTAGCACTTGGAAATTTCAATTTGTAGCAGGGATATTGATATTTCGTTCTTTTCATTCCCTTTACTTTCTTTTAATTGCATGTAATTTTACATCCTTTTTTGTCGAATATGAGACGTAAGACACTTACGTGGAAGGCCTATATGGGCAATACCTGCTAACCAATCCATTTATGTTTAATAAATAATTAAATACGTTCAAATCAGATATTAATATGTTTTATTGGGTAGGATTATTACAGGCATAAGGTCAGGAGTATTAAATGCAAGACTGGATATATTGATGTGAATTCGTCTTTTCTTATACGAGTGATGGAGGACTGGTATATAATATATGTTATAGTCATTTTTCTGTTTTTATATGCTGATTAGGTAAATTGTTGATTAACTTCCAGACTAAACTTTCTGATATAGCAGCCTAATTATTGATAAGATGTCTGAGTATTTTACTGTTACTTTCATTTCACTATGTTCTTTCACTGTTTTGAAGCAGTAAGAAGAAATCCGACGTCTGTATTATTTAAATATTCACGCCAGCTAGGCTTGATCTCTTGTTACCTTTTCGATATGGAAATATCTAATGGAAAAAATACTGTTAAATGAAGCATTATGATGTCTTTATTGACAATTTCAATAATGATAAGAGGAGAAGATGGTTTGTAATGGAAAAAGCAGCTTGAATTACCTTTTAAATTAGCATTTAGTATGTGATTTAAAAAAAATCAGAAAAATAGTTTGTCGAACCTATTTATTTAAAACCAAGCCCCGATCTCTTACCTAATCAATACAGAAAGCTAACGGCAGGGGATGTTTATTTCTCCTAATCACCTGATCCCCCTCTGGTATTTCTAGGGGTCTATGTTTTTGCCCTATACACGATTCATGTTGTTTATAGGATTTATAAGATAGATCATTATTCATTATTTTCATCTTTTTTCACGAGAAACTTACATCCAATAAAAAAGAGTTTTCATTACATATTTAAAGATGCTAAACCAAATTAAAATCTCACGAAAAACAACTCACAAATTGAGTGTAATTATAGTAATTGTTCTGTATAGATTGGGATTATGTGAAACGCTGTTTCCAAGAATTTATCAAATTTAAGTTGCAACATGCCCAAAATGCTTAAATATAACAGAATCAAATTAAATATTTCGTTTAAAGTATATAATTTTCAGTGATTCGTCAGAATGTTAGATGTATATGTAAGTTAATCTTCTTTATCAATGTATGACTGGAACCGACAAAGGTAGGTTTAAAATTATTCATACTTTCATGATAATTACTTTTAAAATTTTAAGATATATAGGTCAGTGAATATGTTTCGTGCAGGTTACATTGAGATTTTATAGAATTGTACGAGTCCCGTTCTTGGTATTGAGTCCTTGAAAGAAGAAAAAAAATTGAATGATTTGTTTTAAGATGTTTTGTGTAAATAACTGGAACACGTAAATTCCATTAAAATTAAGTATCCCCTTATCCTTCACATGTTTGTAAAAGCAAATGCCCAGGAATGCAGAATAATGGAATGCAATTATCACACTGAGAGAAATACAAATGTACCTTGATTTTGTTACTTCTGGAGTTTCAAAGAATTTTCACCCCCAAAAATTAAAAGAATATGATTTTAAGTGAAATCTACTTGTGTTTCAAGTTTTATCGAAATTGGAATAAAATTAAGAAGTAGCATTTTAAAAATTATTTTTTTAGACAGATGGACGATGGACACTTTTTCATCGCATAAGCTCCTCTAGACTTCCACCTGTAGAGGTAAAATTTATAGAACCTTCAGACCGCAGGCTGTGGGGCTATAAATCTTAAAATTATTCTTCCCTTTCGTTCAAGGATAACACTCGACAAGATTTCTGAGAAACCTTAGTAACATTGGTGATATAAAATAAATTGAACGAAGCAATAGTAAAAAGAAATGTTGCGGAAACCTGACGGTCTCAAGCCTCTCCTTTACGTAGAATTGTTATGAAGGAAGTAACTTGATTAAAAAGTCACGTTTGTTACTGGAACTGGAATGTCTGGTCGATTCATTAAGGAACAACATACGTCAAACATGAACATCCAAGTGATGACCTGGCTAAAGAAGAGTCTAATATGGCTCCAATCATTACCCGTCTCTCCCGATCATGTCCTTTGTTAAGCTGTTACTTGAAAAGAATTTACAGCTTGTTTCTGTTCTTGATGGATAAAAAAAATAAGATTTATACAGAAAATAAATGATTCTTTCCGTCGTCCGAATTTGAAATGGATGAGATATTATCCTTAATAGGTATCAATCTATGATTAAAGAAAGAAAAAAGAAAAGCTTTCGTCCCTATACGCATTTAGTACTGATAATGCTGCTTGAATCTTCCATCGAAAGTTAAGATTTTAGAACTTTTGCCCGATCCCAATTGTAATAATTTACATAAAGACAATACCATCCACGTTATTTTGGATAAAAGATTGGAAAGAAAAAAAAAGTGCTAGTAGGATAGTACATTATTATACTTAGAACCAATATTTCAGAATTATTAAAAATGTTTACATATAAGAATTGGCACCATGAATATTGTAAAGGTATGGTTCTGCAGAAAGCGTACTAAATTCAAATGCGTAACAGCTGGTACTCGGTCAATATATTCATTTATTTTGATCGAAACAATGTGATATTTTTACACGCTCAAGGAGATCAATTTAATCATGTCAATAT